GTATTGCACGGAGGACCTGCTGGAGGTAGCGTGACGTGGGAGTTAGAGAGTTGGATAAGAGAGTCTTAGTTGGATCTATTTGAGTTAGATAATTTTTTAGAGCGGAAATATTTTAAGTGGGTGAGTGTTCTAACACCCCGACTTTTGTTAACTATTATTTTTATTTAATTTAATTAAGTGATATACGTGTTTTGCTTGAATTATTGTTATTTTATTAATAATAGGATTAATGGTATTTTAGAGTTGGGAAAGAAAATATAATTGTTGAGTTTAATTTGGATACTTATATAATTATGTTATTTTAATTTAATTAGAGAAATATTGAATTAAAATGGAATAATTATTTAGTTAATTAATAGAAAATTATATTTTTAGAAATATAGAGTTAGTGAGGGTGTTAAAACAATGAAGGGGTGTTAAGGAGACCTAAGGTGAATAAATAGATAAAGTGAGAATTAGAACTATCAGATAGTGAAAATTGAGGAATTAGGAAAAGAGGCAAGGAGGCAGAAACTTGAGCGATCTTAGGATGGAAAGAACGGTAGATCTAAAGGGTTCTTCGATCGTCAATTGTGAGGTAGGGGAACTCTTTACTCATGGGTGATTTAGGCAGTCGGATAGTGATGAGTCATCACCCTCCTATCTTTTTCATCTTATTCTTTGTGTTTTGTTGCTCTTGTATATGGATAAAAGGGTTTGTGCAAAACCATTAGGTTGATTGATTGATGTATTGCTCTATATCCTATTGTTATAATATGAAAATAATATAATTGTCGTGGTTTGAATCCTTTGATGCCTTGAGATGATTTGTGCCTTTTTGATAACTTTTACATGAATGATAATCTGTGTTAAGCCCTTTTGGGGAGAATTCTTGATGAAAATTGGATTGTAGCATATGTTTGTTTGGGGTTTGATTTTGTGCTATTTTTTAGCGATAACTGTAAAGTCATAAAACCATCCCAATTGACATTTTTTTCGAAAAAATCTTTTTTTTTTAAAATCACTATTTATTGAACAATCTTTTTTTTTAATTAGAGCCGCCAGAGTTTTGGAGCCGCGCGGAGGGCGTCGTATGCCGTCGAAAAATTAGGTGTCACGCTAGCGATCAACGATGGAGGGGGGCAGAGCCGCCATAGTTCAGAGACCACTCGACAACGGGAAGTAGAGGCACTGTATTTTCAGCCAAACAGTGGTGGCAGCAGCGGCGGTTCGCAGGTCGGTGGAAGGAAGTTTGAAATTTTTTAGTCTACTGTCCAATTCAATGAGTGTTCGATCAATTTTGAGTCAAATGAGTTTTTGAGAAAATCTTGAGTTCAGTGACTTTTTGAGCGTTTGGCAGAAATAAGTTATTTTGATTATGTTAAAGTTATCAATTGATTACTTTAGAGTCATTTAAATTTATTTTCATGTTGTAGAGATTGATTTAGAGTTATTTAGAGTTCGCCTTCAGAACTCCATTGTGTAAAACACGAGAATTGTTACCCTTTTGATGAGTTATGAGCATACATAAATTAATTATTACTCTGTTGATGTCTTTTTAAGTGTTTTTCTGAGTTGATGAATAATTTAAGTTATCGAGTAATAATACAATTTTACTCTGTTGTAATCATTTATGATTATTAATATAATTATTAAGATGACATTTTGAGATGAGTAGTTCAGAAAGGAGATAGGAATTTTGAGATGTGTAATTCAGATTTACGCAGATAAGATCCACATGCCTCCGACTTTGTTGAATGTTATTTCATCTTCGTGGCCGTTCTCCATGTGGGGAATTGATGTGATTGGTATGATAGAGCCGGAAGAATCTAATGGACACCGATTCATCTTGGTAGCCATTGATTATTTCACCAAGTGGGTTGAGGCGGCTTCCTACGCTAATGTAACTCGACATGTGGTTCTCAAATTTATCAAGAATCAACTTATCTGCCGATATGGTGTGCCAAACAGGATTATTACAGATAATGGGTCCAATTTGAATAACAGAATGATGAAAGAACTATGCGAAGAATTCAAGATAGAACATCATAATTCTTCTCCTTACAGACCAAAGATGAATGGGGCTGTTGAAGCCGCCAACAAGAATATCAAGAAGATCATTCAGAAGATGGTTGTTACTTATAAAGACTGGCATGAGATGCTCCCGTTCTCTTTGTATGGGTATCGTACGATGATACGCACATCGACTGGGGCAAATCCATTTTCGCTTGTCTACGGTATGGAAGCAGTACTCTCGATAGAAGTTGAAATTCCGTCTATGAGGATTTTAATGGATGCAAAGTTATCAGAAACAAAATGGTGCCAGAACAGGTATGATCAGTTGAACTTGATCGAAGAAAAGAAGATGGTGGCGCTATACCATGGACAGTTATATCAGCAGAAGATGAGGAAGGAATTTGACAAGAAAGTTCGACCCCGTGTATTCAAGGAAGGCGACCTTGTGCTCAAGAAGATCCAGTCCTTCCTCACCGATGTCAGAGGAAAATGGGCCCCGAACTATGATGGACCGTATGTGGTAAGAAAGGTTTTGTCAGGAGGTGCTTTGATGTTAGCAACAATGGACGGAGAAGAAATCACTCGCCCTGTGAATACGGACGATGTCAAAAAGTATTTCGCTTAAGGGAGTTCTCATTAACTTAGGGAAGGCAAGTTGATATTCCCTTAATGTAATCTCTATTATTTTCCAACATTGTAATATTTGGGTCACGCCTTTCTGCTGACCGTCATTCAATAAAGTTTCCCATTTATCAAAACCTTTTCTCGATAGCAAAATCCAAATTGATTTAAAACTTTTTCACTACCTCGTGTTTTACTCGATATATAAATAACAAAGGAATGACCATGGACGTTTATTTCATCCATGGAAGAACGTCAATCGCATATGATTCCACAAGCAAAGGATACTTATTCTATCCGGAGACGGGGTCTGTTTATATTCAAGATTTCTTTACAGGTGATGCGAGGTCTGTGGAGATTTGGTTTGAGTACCCTTCCGTTTGAGACATTATTTTTGTCTCTCCCGGTCTGTCAGCATACGCATAGCATATAAGTAGACAACATGGTGTTGCGGTGAGAATCGTGATACCAAGCTATTGATTAACTTGAATCTTTAATTCTTAGATTACAACCGGACTTTAATTTATCCAAGGGAAAAGTCTAAAGAAATAAAAACCCTTTTCGCGATGTAACAACAACGCTAAGAGATTCGGGGATCGGGGGTTGGTTATGCACAGGGTAGGTATTTCACATCCTAAACATCTGTAGTACTCTACAGGAACCTTTTGTTTGTTTACATGCTAAGTTTGTTGAATATTTGCTAAGGTTGGAATTGGGTAAATGGTGTAGGTTAAAACCTAAAGATAGTTTTTAAGTTTGCTTGCAAAGACATCGCATCCTCTGCCTACGTATCCTAACTAGGATAGAATCAGAGCAATCGTAGTTCACCTCACTAGGGTTGAAGAACACTTGATTATGATCAAGGTTCAAAGGAGAACAAACACTACTACAAATTTTTTTTATAATAGCGCTTTAAAGCGCTATTAATCAAACCACTATTGTAAAATAACATTTTTAATAGCGCTATTATAGTACTGGTAATTAATAGCGTTTTTTCAAAAGCGCTATTATAGTACCTGCATTTAATAGCGCTTTTCCAAAACCGCTATTATAAGTCACATATTTGATAGCGCTTTCAAACAAAGCGCTATTATAGTACCGGTAATTTGCTTTAATTTTGATAGCACTTTCAAACAAAGCGCTATTATAGTACACATATTTAATAGCGCTTTCAAATAAAGCGCTATTATAAGACACATATTTAATAGCACTTTCAAACAAAGCGCTATTATAATCCACATATTCGATAGCACTTTCAAACAAAGCGCTATTAAAATACCGGTAAATTGCTTTAATTTTGATAGCACTTTCTAATAAAGCGCTATTATAGCACGCTCTCTTCAAAACGCTATTCTGATACACTTTTTTTTTACACCAAATCATTTTTTTAAATATATATATATATATATATATATATATATATATATATATATATATATATATATATATATATATATATATATATATATATATATATATATATATATATATATATATATATATATATATATATATATATATATATATATATATATGGCATTTGCATTTTACGACATTAGAATTCATAAAATAATTATAACTAAGTAGCTAAAATACTTGAAATTAAAATAATAATGACAAATGTGATACCATTAATTTGGCTTAAGAGTACTTCAAACCAAAATATTTTATAAACACAACTAAAGTATTTTGTCATGTAGTTATTAATTTGGCTAAGAGTACTTCAAACCAAATTTCAAACAAAAAGTACAATCACTTAGCTAGGCATATTCTCTAAACTAATGAAAAAAACATCTAAAAAAACAAGAAAGGACAACAAAAACAACATCAACTAGCTAGTAATAACCACTTTGCCAACCAAAACACTGCTACATCCAAAGATACAACCACTTTGCTAGCTAGCTAGGCAAAATCATTGCTTCTTGTTTTCCTGCATCATAGAAAGAATATTGATTATGTATTGTACAATAATCAGAAAACAAAAACCTGAAAACAAAATATTAATATATAATTAGAAAAGAACATCATTTTACCTAACCAAGTTCAATGGTAACAACAGGATTCAAATGAACATCTTAAGTGATCAAAATGGTACAACCAATTCAAACTTTTAATATGCAAGTAAGGTATTAAGTATCTATATATTGTAGGCTTACTGAAAATATCATCCACCATATAGGTAGCCCAATCATCTTTGACCTCAGTTAACTTATCCTTAGAGTAGGTACGACACTTGTGGTCAGGAAAGTACTTCAAATATAAAAACATCAACAATTGTATTAGAACTAAGTTACATTAATTTACAAAGCTTTAACAATTAAAATCACGTACATTTATGGGGATCATAATTTCATTTTCCATGATGTCCTCTTTCATAAATCGCATTACAAAATATTCACAGTCAATGCTATTAATTTGACGGGGACACTGCAAAAAAACATTTACATATATTACTTTTACTCTACATAATTGTTTTAAAATAACGTTAATTTGGACATAACCGAATTTTTGACCATGAAATTTTCTTTGACTTGGAGACTTTAGGCACTTTAGAGTTACTATTAGCACGATAAATTTGCAATGCACTAACAAAATGAAATTAACTTCAAATGAGTAATTATTATAACTAAGAATACTTATATAAATGTTAAATTGAAAGAGTCTATACTTACTTCTCAAACTTGGTTTTTAAATTTTGATGTTTAGTTGGTTCACCATTCAACGGATCCATGTAATATATCACCTCAGCATCGAGATTGATGACAAGTAATACCCAATGTTTCCTGCAAAACAAAAAGCACATCACATTGAGAAGTTAATTTGTTAATTCCCCACCAAGTAGTAACAACACTCAGAACTTGGATACTTCACCTTCCATTGCAATACATATAATATTGATGCATACAATATATTGATGCATACAATATATTCACAGTATTGATGCATACATATAATATAAGATGCTAAACACATATATAAGAGCAGTTTAAATCCACTTAAAATTGAAGTTGAAACTATCATTCAACTGCAAGTGTTACAATTGTCCATTGCAAATCTATACTTATATAGTTTTTTCTCATAAATTTAATAACATTTTGAATAGAAAACTCACCCTAGATTGCAAGGTGCAAGAATCATCTTATCCTTGAAGTACTCCTCATCTTTCAGAAGTATTTTTGCTATAGCATTTCCTAGATTATCCTCCTGTGATACATGTGGGGATATGAAGGAGAACTTATTTATTAATCCATTTGGACTAATAAACTTGTCATACAAATACCTAGAAATGAACAACAATAATTGGTATTAATATATTTGTCAACAATGTAAATATTAATATATTTGTCATATTAGAGGAAATTTGTAAATAATAGAGGTACCTGGAAAATACAGTGATAACAGAGGCACTTAACCAATTGTGATCAAGAATCTCTTTTATACTCTCTACACGTAGATGCTCTATAAACTCCTCACCAAATATACTTTTCTCCATTTTTATTTGAATTAACGATCCAAACCTCATCATCTTTTTCACATGTATATCAAGGAAAGGTAAATTTACAAGATTGGTTGAACCGCCAACTCTAGGAGACTCTTCAATTTTGAATTTTATGTTGCTTTTGTTAGGTGACGAAACAGAATCAACACTTCGTTGGGTATTTTTAACTTTTTTTTAGGATTGATCAGGATTCTAAAAAGTTTTATTAATTAAGGTTAGTGATCAAATAATAAAACAAATAACGATCAAGCAAGTTAATAATAAGTAATTTACCTTTTCACGTTCAGCAACAAATTCAAGAAGGTTCATTGGCCATGGCATAATTGTTCCTATTTCCTGACCAACCATCAATACATCACCACCTTCAACAGATATAGGCAATTGAGCATTTGGCACAATAGCAACTTCGATATTAACCTTGACATATCCAGGTGGTAACGTCATGTCGTGCACTGTGTTACCTTTGGTGTTATATAGTTTGCCACGAGCAACCAAACACCGACTCGGGGATGATAAATATATATTAACAGGAAGGAGACCCTGCAATGAGATACGAATAAAAACATTAATATCATTATTTATAAAACAAACATATATGAACTGCTTTGACTGTACCGAAACTGACTTATCCAAATTCTTCAAAACAGATCGAAATTAACCTCCAATGATAGAAAAATGGATACTTTCTTACAGGAGGTCACATATCACATATATTCTTCTACAGATCATATACTCTTGAATGGATACTTTCTTACAAAAAAATGGAGAAAGTGTTTGGCTCAATATATGAAAATTCAAATAATAGTTTGGGACTTGCTATATAAATAGGTGACAAAATCATAGATAGAAGAACCACAAGTGCAGAATCATAAATAAGTCTCTTCTAAAATTAATTAGACTCACATTGTCGTAAGCATGGCTAACATGATTATTCCAATTGTGAAAGGTTGTTTAATTATTTTGAGCTTTGTTGGGATATTCTCTAAAATTAACGGTTAGAGAATAATTATACTTGCTTGACAGCATATTATACTTGCTTGTCAATAATAATAATTATAATTGACAGCATAATTGACAGCATATTAGTTAATGTATTACGTACACATTGAAAAGTCAATAAAAAGTGACACTCATGAAGCTTAATATTGTAGCAAAATATAATGGCACCAAATGCCTTTGGAGCCTAACGAACAGGATGAGTCATAAGGGCCCGAATAGTGTACTTCATGTATATGTATTGGAATTTAAATTGAGTTGTGATTTAATCCATAGTGACAGAAACAATACTTTAAAAGAACACATCTTGTCCTACAGACTACAGACTACAGACTACGACATTATACAGACTAGAGACTGCTAAGCGGAAAACAGCAGAAACTGGTGAGGCGGCTAATTAAACAGAAAACAGCTGAGGCAAAGAAACCCTAAACCAATGAGATACGAATAAAAACATTAATATCATTATTTACAAAACAAACATATATGAACTGCTTTGAATTACCTCGGGAATATTACCGAATGATCCAGGGTTGCAAGAACCTTTATCACTTAACTCTTGCCTCAGTGTCCCTTTTTCAGGCTGTTGCAAGCTCTTTGACACTTGTTCAGGTTGTTGCCTCTCTGCCACATCTTCAAGTTGTTACAAGCCATGTGTCCCTTTTTCAGGCTGTTGCAAGCTCTTTGACACTTGTTCAGGTTGTTCTTTCTCGGCCACTTCTTCGGTTTTTTGCCTCTCTATCTTCTCTCTATCCAACTTATCTCTCTCCAGCTTCTCTCTCTCTCTAACACCTCCAATCTACTTTTGAGTGTGTTGCAAAAGCCATACAATCTTTGAAAGTCCATTTGTGTGGGGCGATATTTGGCGTGGAAATATGTCCCTAGAACATATCCTAAAACCGTAACTCCTAATACGCCCATAGTAGTTTGGGAGATTTAGAGCCTCGAATAATATGTTCGTAGGACCAAGGTCTTGTCTCTCTTCTTCAGTTATAGCTTCTGTTAACTTCTCCTGACATTGATAAGTATAAAAGACTTGTTAAAAGAAAATCAATTTGAACACTTTCATTAAGATTACAAAAGCTTTCTGCAAACAACTCAATTTATTAAAACACTGTTCAGGTTACTTAAACATCCCAACAGATAACTTATGGAATTAAAATTTTACAACAAGCTTGAGTTAGTGTGTTACTTCAATTTCATCCCAAATGTTTTGTTTATAAACCCCTACAACCTCTTTATTTTCTTTCGCACTCCAATTGTCCAAACTAATTGGAAGTAACCGACGAACCGTGACACCAATATAACTAGCAAAACTCTTGCTATTATGCTTGATTGGTTGACCTCTTGCATTCCATTGAACCTATAACAAAATTAGAGTGCAATTAAATAATCATCAATCTCACTAATATTCTAAGACAATCAGAGGTCTCATCAATCTCAATAATCATCATCTAGCTATTTTACCTCAATCCTCTTTCCATTGCTTTTGGCTTTGTGAATTTTTTGCAACCGAGTCACACCACGTTTACCAACTGTTTTCGTACTAGACGAATCACCTTCATCATTAGTAGAAACCATATTTAACCTGTAAAAAGTGTAAGAGCTAGTATTATATTTGTGGTTGTGGTTACTAATGCAAATTCAGACAAACATAAAACACAATTAAAGACAATTTTATACAGTAAGAGCTAGTATTATATCATTCTTAAACAACATTTTTATTCACTCACATTAAAGACAATTTTCAAGTGATTCCACAAATTTTCAAGTCGGCCTTTTCCTCTTCCTTGTAATTGGATTCCTACTTTTGTGTTTTCTTGATACAACAAATGATGGGTTGATCCAAATCCCATCATTGTGATTGTTTCTCATATAAAGAATATCATCTACAATTAGTTCATCCTCAAGGGATTGTGATGTATTAAAGAAAGGATCATCCTCAACATCTATACTTTGAGTTTTTTGATCATTTATTTTGTTACTTAGAAACACAATAGACCATTTTTCATCGGCAGGATCAGTGACATAGAATACTTGGTGAGCTTGTGATGCCAAAATAAGAGGCTCGTCTTTATACCCCACTTTATTAAGATCGACCTTCATGAACCCAAGGTCAACTTGAAGGCCATTGTTGTTGTCAACCCACTTGCAACCAAACACAGGCACTTGAAAGCATGAGTAATCTAACTCCCAAATACGTTCAATGACCCCAAAATATGACAATTTGGAAAATGCAGGATTTCTATCTTTGGAACTTGAGATATGCACAGATTCAGCTACGAGCGTGACACCGCTATTTTGCATAGTGCTTTGATGATCATGTTCTTTCGTATAAAATGTATACTTATTAATTATATAACCAGAGTACAAGAGAACATGTGAATTTGGACCATTTTCTAGCCATCTCAATCTTTCGGAAATTGAAGCAGGATTTTTGGCAAATTCTGAAAAAATGTGTTCTTTTAGCCACGATATAAAACTTTTATTGTGCTCTCTTGTTAACCAATTTTCACTCCTGTTAGGGTTCAAACTTTGAAGGGTTTCCTTGTGCTTTCAAAATATGGCTCAACCTCATCTGCATTGTGTAGTACATACAAGTGTGCTTGCTCCAATTCGATGTCTGACATGGTGACTAGTTTACTTGCACCAATCCCTTCCCCTATTGGTTTTCTAGAGTGTCGTGACATTGGAAGCCCTATGGACTCAACATTAGAGAGGTATTCATTACAAAACTCAATAGCTTCTTCAACTAAATATTGTTCAACAATGCAACCCTCTGGTCGACTTCGATTCTTCACGTACCCTTTTATTATCTTCATGTAACGCTCAATCGGGTACATCCACCTCATATAAGCTGGTCCGCAATATTGTATTTCCATGATAAGATGGACGGTGAGATGAACCATTATGTCAAAAAATGAAGGTGGAAAATACATCTCAAGCTCACATAATGTGACAACAATTTTCTTTTGTAATGTTGGCAACTTCTCAGGGTCAATAACTTTGCTACGAATAGCTTTGAAGAAAAAACAAAGTTTAGTTATGGTCCATCGCACATTTTCTGGTAAAATGGAATGTATAGCTACCGGAAGAAAGTTCTCCATGAAAACATGACAATCATGAGACTTTAAACCCTCCAATTTGAGATCTTTCATAGATACCAAACTCTTAATGTTTGATGAGTAGCCCTCTGGAACTTTAACATTCTGAAGAACCTTACACAAGATCTTTTTCTCTTTTCTTGACAGAGTATGAGCTGTTGGAGGTAGAAATGTACGCTTACCCTCCCTCTTAACCGGCCCCAATTCATTTCTTAATCCCATACTTTGCAGGTCTAACCTTGCCTTAAGGCCATCCTTAGACTTTCCTGGAAGATTGAGTAATGTACCAACGACACTTTCAAAAACATTTTTTTCAATATGCATCACATCCAGGAAATGTCTAACATACAATGACTTCCAATACGACAATTCAAAGAAAATTGACTTTTTTTTCCATCCCCCCGTGGCAAGTTCACTTGAAAAAGGCTTCCCAAAATTAGTGCTCAAAAGCTTTACCTTTTGGTATAATTGATCGCCAGTCAAAGGCACGAGAGCTCTTTTTTCTTCAGATTCACTATTAAATTCTTTTCCCCATTTTCGAAAACGATGGTTGGTATTTAAGAATCTACGGTGTCCAAGAAATACATTTTTCATACAATGATCCAACCGTATTGAATGTGTATTATCTTCACATACGGGGCATGCAAGTTTTCCTTTGACACTGTAGCTTGATAGATTCCCATATGCAGGAAAATCATTGATTGTTCCAAATATTATAGCCCTCAATTGAAAGGATTCCTTTTTATACTCATCATATACCTCTACACCTGCCTCCCACATATGCTTTAAATCTTCAATTAATGGAGCCAAGTATATGTCTATATCATTTCCTGGTTGCTTGGGCCCAGAAATTAACATAGTCAACATCATGTACTTGCGCTTCATGCATATCCA